TAGTTATAACTCGAGGATATTATAGTTATTCGACACGCTATTCAGAAGAAGCACGAGAATATTCTTGTGGCGCGCTATGGGCGCACGTGTGGTCACAACATGCCTTGTGTACAACGAAAAATTTGAGAACCGCAACGGGTCCGCAAAGCCAGCCGAATAGGGCAAGCGAAAAAATGTTTTGTGTCGGCAGTGAGAATCGCAAGCAATTACCCCATGGTCGTTTTGGTTTCCGCATAAAAATATTGCCATCTCGAGAGGAGGCGCATTAAGTAAACAAAGTATGTCGAGGGACAGAGCGCGCGAGTCCATATACATATATATATACGTGTGATGTATATCTGCCAACTGTTATATTTTTCGCGTGTACAACCCTTCCCGTTGTCATGGCCGATGTTCATCGGGTTGGCTCGTCTCTCTTTCTCTCGCGCCCGTTACATAAGCAAGTCAAAAGACTTATGAAGCATAAACTGCACAAATAATAAACGCAACAGGTATTAGTAACATGAATGAAACTTCACATGTTGCAAATTGCGGCTGCTGTTCGAGGCTATCTTGGCTTACAAATTATCGGTCATTATCTCGAATAAAGACGAAATTAAAACTATATTGATTACGTTGCTTACAAACCTTGAATCAAGTTTATAAATTGGCTCAAAAAGGAAAAAAAATGTATAACTTTGGTGAAAGATAATTGCAGGAAAAAAAAGTGTCATATTTGTTTTTCTTTTCATAATCCACCGTTTTTTGAAATATTTTCAAAAGCTTAAATTAATGAAATTTTTCACTTGCCAAAAGTGAACTCTTACCTCAAGAGCAGCTGGTATCATTTTTAAGGACAAGATACTGTATATTATCATGCTTTTTTCTTGCTTTTACAAATATATAGTCAAAAAATCTTGTTAAGGATTATGAATACCATAAAAAGTGTTAAAAGAATAAGAGAATGAGAAAGAAAGTCAGCATGATATACTCGCTAAATTATACGTTAAATAAAAACACCTGTATGTTTCTTGCTCTTGTAAAGAATTAATAAATTTTTTCATATTTACGTACTTGTTGCGAGTATATGTCACATACAGATAGTAAAACGATATCGCACTCGCTTTTTATACCCTCAGTAAGATACTTACAAGTACTTTTTTACTTGAGACGTACGAGTAAAGCGAGTTACTTGACTCGTTGCGGATGAGATATATACTGCTTATGATATTTAGGTAACTAACTTTTGAAAAATTAATTGTTTACACAAAAATTGTTTGATTAAAAAATTTTAATTTTTAGAAAATTCTTGCAGATTACCGCTCAGGAACAGCAACCATCGAGGATCCTTTAATACATGATGAATTTAAAATGAGCTGATCAAGTAGCGAAAACAAGAAAAAATGTATAATCTTAGCTGGAAAATTGATTGTTTTACTTTATTTGGAAAAAAATGACGTTAATAATTGTACGAGACTTTTCATGTCCAAAAAAGTTGAAGAGATTAAACTGTTTTATTTTATCCAAATCTCTACTGTTATATCAATATCTATTGTTAATTTGAGAAGGATTACATAATAATACTCTAATCATGTAGGCTTTTCTTGGTTTCTTTTCTCATTTTTCTGAAAAAAATACTTTTTAATATACAAAAATACAAGCATATATTCGTCGCCCTAGCGCAGGAAGGTATCTATTTCCAAGCTGTAGCAAGAAGGATACTTACTCGCGCGCAGAGGCAAAAAGGTATCTAACTCGAGCGCAGCGGCAAAAAGGTATCTAATTCGAGCGAGAAGCAAAAAAGTAGCTTATTCAAACGAAGTGGCAAGAAAGTTTTGACGCGCTGAATTTAGGTTGGCAACGGAGCCGTAAATAATAAAATTTTTTTTTGTATTGGAGCAAAAAAGAGAAAAAACAAGTGAGCTAGTGTAATGATTTTCATTCATTTGTAATGCGAGCAAACAAATCAATCTCGCCGTGATTTCGACTCAATTTGCCACTTATGGAGAACTTTGTATGTTATGAAAGGAAAGTAGAAGTTATCGGCTTTACATATGGCTTTGAATTAAATGTTGAATGTTGAATTTTGAAACAAAATTTTATCATTTACGTCTGCGTTGCCAACCTAATTTCAGCGCGTCAAAACTTTCTTGCCACTTCGTTTGAATAAGCTACTTTTTTGCTTCTCGCTCGAATTAGATACCTTTTTGCCGCTGCGCTCGAGTTAGATACCTTTTTGCCTCTGCGCGCGAGTAAGTATCCTTCTTGCTACAGCTTGGAAATAGATACCTTCTTGCGCTGGGGCGACGATATAATAGTTACAAAAATTTTCTACATCTCTTACATGAATGCAGTGAAAAAAATAAATATTTCATAGAAATAATGCTCTATAAATAGGTAAATATATATTCATGATTATCGCAGTATATTGACATTATTAGCCAAGCAAAGTACTACAATTAATACATAATACATGCATACCAACACGATGACTTGCCATTAAAAAATATTTTAAACCCTTCAGTAAATTTTTTAATCGCTTCCTTTTTTCTGATTCTGAGCGTATTATTATAATGTTCATAATATTTGAGCTGTTTAAGTCTTCAACTTAAATTTTTTTGCCGACCTTCGTTATTGAATTATTTTTCGATCAAGGTAGCAAAATCAAAAGCAGTATACTTTGTTAAAATCAACTCCCTGCTTTCAAGTCGTTTTTCTCCAGGACAATTACTTGTTTTATAAAACTTCATTCTATAATGGCACCATTAAAAAGGAACAGACAAGAGTCTATCAAAGTGCATACACTGAATATTTTCCCAGCTTCATATGCAATGAAAACGACGAGATGAAAAAGTGCTACTTTCGAAAATTCCCGATGCGAGCTTTATATCTAATCAATTTATAACACCGTCATAAACGAAGTGAATCGATCGATGGGTAATAAATCTGATTTTTTCACAAGTGTGTCTTATAATTGGAGCTTAAAAAGATAATTAGCACTCTAATGGTCTTATAATATTTGTTAACAAAATAGGTGTCAAAATTGGTCGAGTACTTGAAATTCCTATATTCTTTCATTAAAAATTTGAGAAGAGTTAGCCACATATATTCGTTTACATATTTGCATCCTTCTAAACTGGTTTGGTCCGTTTGTGTCCGTAATTTTTCCCCGACTCTTTTTTCACGTTTCTCGTAAGTTCGATAAAAGTTGCTTGGTAGTTTTATCCTTGGCACATATATTTTCTCTGGTACTGATAATTTTGTAAGCGTGAATGAAAAATGATTTAATCTCTTGAGAGATTCGAAATGCAGTCTTTTCTTTTCACAGGAAATGATCTTTCCGAATAATTAATTAATGCTCACACATGCATACGTTAGAGATGACTCACGTATGGTCGAGAGAAAGTTTCTTTCTGGTCGGTAATAATATCGTGTCATCCGGTCTTGTGACAATAGACTAAATGATTGATTGTTTTACTTGGAAAAGAAAGAAGCCCAGATAAGATCTCTGCTTGTTCTACTGTTGACGACCCCCTACTGACACGCTGATTTACAATTTAAAGTTGACGCGCGTACAAGCTAACACCGAAGCTTAGCATTTATAGAACACCTGTTCCCTCTTTCGGGGGCCTCTTTCATGAGTACGTAAGAGGCGCAACGCATTGAACCTGCCGAGTTTCTCTCTTTCTCGCTCGCACCCTTGTTATCCACAGGTCGGTGCAACATAATATGCTTTACTCAATTTTCCCCTCTATTAATAAAACTCGGGAATATGAGATTCAACTTTCTATTGACGTCGTGAAATTTCTTAACATTTTCCATCCATCCAGCTTCCCGAAATCCATTCCCCCAAACATGCAGAGCTCAATATTTCGAAAAATGAACATACGGTTGCCTCGAAAAAAATAAAATAATCGTTCACTCCTCCAAAAATTCGTAATTATAAATAATTTCTGCGTATGTAGAATGAGCATCGGAAGAACAAGAAAAAGCGATTAAAGGAAAAGGATAAACAAAAGATAAGCTCCTTCTTGAAAGATCTCGCCACACTCGTTAAGGGCCTCGAGCGAATGGAAGAACTCATTTTCAACTCATAGGATGAGAAAAACTTACTTTAAATACTGATATAGTTAAGTTACACTCATATGCATTTAGAAAATCATAATATTAGTTTATTCTTTTCCCGTACTAATAGGTGCACCCGCAGGTATACCCACACTTACCCTACGTAATAGTTAAATTTACATTTAAATTCAGATCTGAAATATCAAAGCCGGCTATAAATTTTAAAAATATTACAGTTATCTTCTTTTTCATGTAATATTTGAAAATAAATGTTTTTATTGGAATTAAACTATATTAATTTAACTATATTCGATTGGATTTAAGTAAATTCTATACAATTTCTAAAATGAAGTACCGTAACTAAGTATATATTGTAAACTATGTTTAAAATTGATAAAACTATATATTTAGTTTTAAAACATCGTTGATTTCTGTGTCACGATTACTGACGTTCACGAATATTTGACGTCTCGAACACATGCTAAGTCAAGGAGGGAGGTAGGAAGTGGGGATAGTATCTCAAAGAATAACAGCCGCTCTCTCTCTCTCCTACGAAGTATACGAGTGGGAAAGAGATAGACAATGTGGCGGGGGTAAAAAAAGTTAGAGGGGGAGATCTGAACGCGTGGGCTCGAAAAGAGCCGGCCAGTGAGACAACCACATTTTGATACCTCCACTATAAAACCCGAACCGCGAGTCAGTTGAACCTATATCGGTTAGAGAGATAGATAGTATAACACACAGCTACACATAATCTTTAGTTGTGCATTGGAACATATAGTTAGTTCTTCGATACAGCTTAAACAATTTTGTGCATTTCATACGAGTACTGCCTTCTTTTTAATCAGTGCTGACGAAAAAATCGAAACTTTGTAGTTAAGTTGTTTCGTTGTGAATTTGTGCAAGTGCAATTTTCGTGCCTTTTATATTAGCAGCCTAAGAGGTTTAATATAATTATGGCTTTCTCAGTGATGGACGACGAGGATTTGAGTTTCCTTGGCGGCCTATTCGATGAACCAAACGAACCATACGTCAATCCAATTTCAAGCTTAGGATTCGAATCAACGTAAGTTACTTTTTTGATTTAAATATTTTAAAAAGAACCAACATTACAAACGTTTAGAGGAATTAGTGTTTAATGTATCTGTTTCGGTAATATTTAACAAAACATCAAATATTTGCTTCCAAATCAAATATTTCCTGCCCAAAAAACGACATTACGAAAAATTGAAAAATCTAAAAGTGTTTATCATCTAAAAGTCTAATCTAAAAGTTAAAATTAATCTAAAAGTCTAAAATTAGTTTCTTCCTGGAAATGGCTAAGTAGAATCAACTATGGGAAAAATTGCATGAAACTTTCTGATAGCTGTATCCCAGCGAATCTTGCAAATTTTTTACTTCTGAAACCAGCGTTGGAAAGATGAGAAAAAAACCTATCAGATAGTTTCATGCAATTTTTTCCATAGTTGATTCTACTTAGCCATTTCCAGGAAGAAACTAATAAACTTTTAGATTTTTCAATTTTTCGTAATGTCGTTTTTTGGGATAAAGTTGTATTTTTTTGCATTAAAATAATTTCAAAGCGTATACTAATTTATACCATTGGATTTGTCATAAAAAATCGTAAATTTTGGTAGTGTCAAAAATTTTTTTAGATTTCTGTTCATTTGCCACTCGCTCGAAAATGAACGATCGAAAAAGTGTATTTTTTTAAATGAAATTGCGCTCCTATATCACCCTCCCCTTTTTTTTATTTTATGTATCGCGAGCATCTGTGATCATTCAAAACGTTCATACTTTTTTTTTCATCTCCAATGACGAGACACGCCATGAAGCATCTGAATTAATCTTACCTACGATTATTATTAACGTAACTGAATATGTTTAAGAAAACTCTAGCTAGATTTAACGCCGCGAATAAAATGATATCTAATTGACTTTTTTCTCATTTTAATTGATTTTTTATGCTAATGAGTATGTATTATTTTCACTTTTCTAGTGCTTACATCGATCAATTACCGGATCTCGGATTGCCAACATTCGCATCTAATCCTAACTCGTTCGAAGCTAATTTGAATAATACGAGTCCAATTGATTCGGAACCAAACTTACCACCGGCCAATTTAATTAGCCCTCAAAGTACTTCAAATCATAGCGATCACTCTGATAAAGGGCCGATGCTTGCAAGTGCGTGGCTCGATAATGAAGTCCCAGTACCTCTTCCAGGTATTTTGAGTGACACAACACTGGATCTTGATTTTATGAATTATCTTGCCGGTGATACAACACCGGAAAATGCGTACGCGCAGTCGTTTATGGATTCATTCTGTGTGGAGGAATCTCCATATAGTCTACTGGAGAATCCGGCAAGAATACCTGCCGATCAGCCATCCTCACCAGCGCCACAAAAAGTATCACAGAAAGTAGCACCAAAAGTAGCGCAAAAAGTAGGGCCACCAAAAGTAGCGCAAAAAGTAGCGCAAAAAGTAGGGCCCGAGGTTGGCAAAAAGCGAGGCCGAGGGCGACCACGTAAGAATAAAGAGTTGGGAGTATCACAGAAAGTAGCACCAAAAGTAGCGCAAAAAGTAGGGCCCGAGGTTGGCAAAAAGCGAGGCCCAGGGAGACCACGAAAGAATAAAGAGTTGGGTAGCGCAGGAACGACCCCTACCCCTAGCAGCGAGAGCTCGAACTCGCCTCCTTCCGATGACATTGAGGATTTCGTATCTGCTCCGATCCCATCGGTTCGAAAATACGCTCCAGTCGTTAGAAAGAAAAGATCGACATCAGATGTATCTGACAAGCTACCCCAGCCCAAGAGACAAAGGAAACAAGTTGAGACAACTCAACCCCCTGTTGATCACCTTTACTCGGCCAACACGATCACGGCGCAACATCCCAAGAGGAAAACTAATGCGAGAACTACGGGGAAAAAACGTGAGTACTTTTGAACTTTTTTTGTAATTTTCATACACGTATTTTCATGTACATGTGCATACACGTTATGTTTGCGAAATCATTCCTCGGCCTTGGCCCCTATAAAATTTTTGTATTTTACTTCCGGTTTTCGAATTTTCCCTCCGATTTTCCAACTTTTTTATATGTACCTTTTTGTTCAATTCCGACGAATGTAATTATATGATGATTTTCACGTAGCACATAATCGCACAAAATATCCATACAAGTATACGCGGATAAACAAGAAAGTCTCTAGGCGACATTTGCAGTCTGCATATTATTTATTCAAAAATGATCTGGCTTTTCATACAATTTTGATATATTTTGCAATCGAATAGAAATGAAAAATGTTTCGCGTTTTTTGTTGCAGTGAAACTTCGTTTACCAACTAAAAAGGCCCCAAAGGAACCTGCATCTATCTGTCAGAAAGAGTTACTGAGTGTCGCGCCTCTCATCGAGGAAAATGAAAAAGTCATTATACGCCCAGGATACTCATGCGATGAAAAATATGGAGAAGCAAAAAGGCGAAAGGGACAAAAACATAATTTCAAAAAACCTTCGATTGAAGAAAAGTACAATAAAGCAGCAAACAACTGTAGAAGAGAAAGAATCATCAAGGCGCTACAACAACTTTTGACAAGAAACAAAATCATACATCGGCGAATGGCCAGATTTTCGTTTCTCCCTGGAGTTACGACCCAGGATGTTAAAAATACGTGGAATGAATGGGTAAAAATACAAAATAATCGAGAGGAGTATTTGGAAAACATTCGGTGTCAGACAGTCACATCGAAGGCAAAAAATGATACTATCGATAAAACTAAAATGGAAGAGATCCTCGCCAACAACGGAGTTATGCGAGAGGAAAAGGCGAAATTTCCCGATCCACTCAAACGTGTCAACGAGTCTAAAATCATCCATGAGGTTAAGCAAAGATTTTCCACTCACCAAGCATTTGTTCTTTTCTTTATCGAAAAATTCAAAATTTCGTCACCCTTGTTATCAAGTTATGTTTTGCATAACATACACCCCGATAATATATCAGATAAAGTTAAAGAAATTATCCTTAAGGGTCAAATAGCTCAACCTAAGCCACCTACAACGCGGAAATATGAACCAAAAGATAATAAAAAGGTAGATAGTCTTGTTGAATACGAAGAAAGTCATCGAAATCGATTGAGACATAACGCAATGGAACGTAAGCGACGTTTGGAGCAAAAGATGGGCTTCGAGATCGTCAAACTAATGTGTCCCGAGCGGTATAAGAAAAAGTCTTCCATTCACAATATTCTAAGAGGACTCAAGAATACGCTGAGCATGACTTCTACTTACTTCTATAAAAAAGTTGTCTTTACGTTGGTGCAAAAAGGATATGGAAAATTAGAACTTTCGAAATTAAAAAAGCTTTGTAAGGAGACAAACACACAATTATGTTTATCTAGTCAGTAAGCAGGCTAGTGCACCATTGTTTATGTTTATATTTTTGTAAATTGTAATCTTCTTAAGTAATAAAAATAAGAAATTAAAAGCAGATACGCAAAAAATTTGAATATTATTATTTCATACATCCTAAATCGATTCTTAAATCACTGCGTAGCAATGACAGAACAAAATTTGGCTGTTTCATAGATGTTCGAGTTTTATCGTAAACCCGCTTTTAATTAATTTAATACCGATGAGACTCGTATTTATATTATTTGTGATAATTTTTGTGTGATAATTCTCAAGTTATACATACATGTCGGTCTACTGGGCGGAGCTTATAGAGCTGACATCATATACGCGAGCAGCTTGAAGATGTAAGCCCATAATAGATATGTACAGCAACGGGTATGTTTGGGACAGTCTGAACGATCTAGCAGCATCCACGATACTGCATGTACTATTGTTTTATTCATTACTTCTTGCTATTTCTCTAAAAGTAACATCAATGAAAACCGCTTATGGTACCATTAATGATTCAAATTTTGCATTATCGTGGAATTTTCGTAAAAATAATGTGAAAAATTAGTAATATTTATGCGTCATCAATTGATGCAAATTTTTCAATTCTCTTTCTCCCGCAATCATTGATAATAAGATACAATGATTTTGACTGATGTATTATGTTAAGCTGAGAGGAGCATTGACAGGAGTTTCAAATAAACCAGGAATGCAACGAAACAGATTTTCAAGCCAAAAATTGAATTTCCTTGTTATAAACAAATAATTATGCGTAGAAAAATTATTATGATATGCATTTTTGATTCTTAAACTTTTTTTATGGCATTTTTATCTTATTTTATATAAAAAAGTACCCTTGTCATTTTATTACAAACTTGACAGTCCTGCTCACAGATTCAAAATTTCAAAGATATTTAATTTTCATTGATAATTCTGGTGTCATTTTAAGGACAGCCAAGTGCCTATGTCGCATTGCACATAACTGCGTACCTACGATCAGTCGACGGTGGAAGGGGAAAGGGTCGTCGCTAAGGAGCTATCTCAATCGCGGGGTCACCTCACAGATTATCGAGTAGTACGTTCAGTCGAGGATATGAATTCCTGCAGTAATGAGTAAGTGTTTACAAAAATTATACCCGTCAAAGTGTCTAGGAACTCGAGGTAAAGTGCTGGCAACTCGAGGCCTTTAACCTAAAATATTTTTTCAGTGCGAATTGTGAAAATTCATAGTAAATACATATCATATGATTAGCGATGGAAAACATAGATAATACAGTCAGGTATAACTCTTTTGTGATTTCTATCGTATTTTTGAATCTACTGCCTCATCAAACTTGATTATTTTTCAGGGTAAAAAAAGAAATGAATGATACTTGACTGAAAGCCGATGATGATCATGTTTTTGATCCAGTGGATTCTCCCGAAGCAAACATTTTTAAAACATTCCCGGTTCACGAATCGATAGTGAGTTAAATGACTTACGAATTGTATTCTAATTTTCCACTATCAAAACTATTGAATAATTTTAATTTTAGAGAAATCATATGAACAAAGCTATTGATTTGAACGAAAAGTTGGAGAAAAAGATGACCATTGAATTTGAGTGCAAAGATGTTAAACTTGAACTGCCGTCTCTATCGACAACCATATGCAAAACTGAGTTTCAGAATTATCCACCAATTGTGAAAGAAGAAAATCCAATTCAGACCAGTTACTTAAACGATAAAGATTTGATAATTTCGATAAAAAAAGATTACGATTATCATAATAATTTTTCATTTCAAGTCGATTACCGATTGAAATTTGACGAGCATAAGGAGGTTGAAATCAAAAAAACTTTTCAAACCAAATCATACAAGAGTGATCTCAAAACGCTTATAAATTCAAAACAAGATCAGAAAAAACACTTTGAGTGTGACATTTGTCACAAATCATTTTCGCTCAAGAGTAATTTCACTGAACATATAAGGATAGTACACAATCGCAGCAAACCCTTTGAATGTGAGATTTGTCACAAATCATTTGGACATAAAGGTGATCTCAAAAAACACATAATAACAGTCCATAATCGGAGCAAACCATTTGGATGTGATATTTGTAACAAATCATTTGGACAAAAAAGTCACCTTAAATGGAGTACATGTTCGTAGCAAACCATTCGAATGTGAGATTTGTCACAAATCATTTGGACTCGAAAGTAACCTCAAAATTCACTTCAATATAGTACATAATCGTATTAAACCCTTTGAATGTGAGGTTTGTCGCAAATCATTTGGACGAAAAGGTGATCTCAAAACTCACATAAACACAGTACATGATCGGAGCAAACCATTCGAATGTGAGATTTGTCACAAATCATTTGGACTTGAAAGTAACCTCAAAATTCACTTCAATATAGTACATAATCGTATTAAACCCTTTGAATGTGAGGTTTGTCACAAATCATTTGGACATAAAGGTGATCTCAAAAAACACATAATAACAGTCCATAATCGGAGCAAACCATTTGGATGTGATATTTGTAACAAATCATTTGGACAAAAAAGTCACCTCAAACGTCACTTAAATAGAGTACATGTTCGTAGCAAACCATTCGAATGTGAGATTTGTCACAAATCATTTGGACTCGAAAGTAACCTCAAAATTCACTTCAATATAGTACATAATCGTATTAAACCCTTTGAATGTGAGGTTTGTCGCAAATCATTTGGACGAAAAGGTGATCTCAAAACTCACATAAACACAGTACATGATCGGAGCAAATCCTTCGAATGTGAGTTTTGTCACAAATCATTTGGATACCGGAGTAATCTTAAGAAGCACATATATACCGTTCATAATAAAAGTAAACTTATCGAGAGTGCAATTTGTCGCACCTAATTGGACATAGAAAATCACTCGAATGTAAAATTGTCATAAATCATAAGGTCTTAAAGGTAACTAGAAAGCTCACATAATGAAGATAATCGGATCGAGTAGTATGAGATTTGTTAAACATTTGAATGCAGGAAGACTTCTACACTTACATATACACGTTTTGTATTTTTAGAAAATCTTGCACATGAATACCTTTCAATTTCGTGGAAAACAACAAAAATAATTCAACTTTTCATTTAATACATGGTGCTGGAAAAAACTGTTTTACTCACTATTTGTATATAAAAAATATTTCTTTTTTAATTCATTCTCAAAAGTATTGCTGTTCGAATTTTCAAATTTCCAATCATCAGTTGAACCTTGCGTAACTCCTCCTTATTGGGCTGTGAATGAAAAATCTTGACTATTAAGATTTTTACATATTACTTTTAGTTTTGCTATATCAACAGTTTCATTAGAAAAACGCAATTTTAAAATAATGTGTCCCTTCCTTGATCGATGAATACTCGACCTTAAAATACTTGGCTCTTTGACTTTTGCGATATAAAATTAATTGTTTTATGAAACATTTTTTCTGGATATTTAGCAAACATTTGATGAATAAAAAAAGATTCGAACATCGAAAATTCTCAGGGTTGCATAAAAATTGATTTTACAATTGAAGGCTGTAAGTTTTTCCGTTTTTGATATATTTTTCTTTTTATAATGAACTATTGATTACGTACTTTTCGAAAAATAAATCGAATAAAAATGTATCATAGTTATCTACTTTCCTTGTCAATAAGTCAGAAAAAAATAAATATTCAAGAAAATTATAAACTTTTCAATTCGAGCCGACTCCGAATTCTTTATAAACTTACGTGGATTTTCTACTGTTATTAGATCTTTATAGAGTCTTTTGCATAAATCGATCCATGACTTCCTCTGGGAAGAACTTGAAGTTCCCGGCAGAAGTCAATGCCTAATCTTCGACTCAATCATCTTCCACAACGTGTCGCAAATCTGCGCAAAGATATTCGCAATTTACCAACGGTCGATACGACTTACGAAATTTCAAATATGTAAAGTAATTATAATATTTTTTGCACATAGTCAATGAAAAATGTTGTTTTTTTGAATTTTCCGTACATGCTCAATGAGATACAAATAAAAATGCTAAAAAATTTGTAGCTCGGTTTAACCATCTTCAAATGTAAATACTCGAGTGGGACTTCTAATTGTTTAACTGACAATCAACGCTCGACTTTGGGTCGATTAGCTGCTGCAATATAATTGCCAATTAAATATTATCCAAGCGCAGGTGTTATAACACATTATCGTACATGGCATTGATAATTGAAACGAAGCTCCCGGACCCCTGACAATGTGTATGATACCTACACACGTTACATTATTATACATTCATACACACTCACGAATGACATACGTATACAAATGCGACACGTTTATTATGGCCACGTTAATCCACGCACGCAGTGCGCAATGTCAACTTGCCATATCTAACACTGTATTAGCGTAAAAGCTGCTGTGTGTATGTGCGGGCAGAAATCAGAAGCGGCAGCAGCAGCATTGCCCCGTGCTTTCTACATAACTACAGCAGCGCTATTTCTATAGTACATATAACAAGTTGCATTGAAAAAGCATCCGGCTTCGCGAGTCGTCTGCGCCCATCCAGCTCTACGCCCGCACCGGATCACGACACGGACGCACCGCGCTCGATTTCTCTCGGCACGAAAATTGGCAGTGCAGCTTAGCAAAAAGTTGCTTCATATGTTAAGGCCGCGATGACCAAGATGCTAGGCTCGCAAATCGCTGCGTTGGTTACGATACTCGGCCTGGTCCTCGGGGCGGCTGGCGTTGAGTTAACCTTCGAGCTGCCCGACAACGCCAAAGAGTGCTTCTACCAGGAGATCGAGAAGAACGTCACCTCCACGTTGGAGTTTCAGGTTCGTTGCTCGCCACCTCGGCTCTTTTCCGGCTGCTATGAAGCTTTACTGACAGAGATTCCTCTCTGATGTCAAACAATATTGCTTGCGAGCCATAGTTACTTGACACGCACATGCTGCAGCCTAGTATGACATATTTTGATCTGATTGTTTGTTTAGGTTGTCACTGGTGGCCAGTATGATGTTGATGTTACTCTGGAGTCTCCCACAAAAGAAATTATTTATAGACAAGTGAAGATGCAGTACGATGCACACACGTTTACTCCAACAGTGTCCGGTGTTTATACTGCTTGTTTTAGCAATGAATTTTCTACTTTTTCACACAAGCTAGTGTACATAGATTTTCAAGTTGGAGATGAGCTTCCTCTGCCAGGACTTGGTGAGCACGTCACAGTTATGACACAGGTAAAGCTAATTTTCATAACACATACTGTACTTTTCTGCATTTCTTTGACTCTAATGAAAAATATTATGTGTTTCCAGATGGAGTCATCGGCTCAAGAAATTCACAAAAATTTGAACAGTATCCTTGATTATCAAACTCATCATCGTTTGAGAGAGGCTCAAGGACGCAAAAGGGCAGAAGATCTGAATGAAAGAGTTTTGTGGTGGTCTGCTCAAGAAGCTATCGCTATTATAGTTATCAGCGCTGCTCAAGTGTTAGTTCTGAAAAACTTCTTCACAGACAGAAAACCTACATTATATTAAATTATTTAGTCTAGGGTTGAATAATTTGTTATTTATGTGTACTTTAAGCTTTTGTTTGTCTCTGATCAACGAGCTCCACCAAAGTTTCAAGAGCTTGAGTATGGATGTATAAAAATACAGAATGTTGTTACTATGAGTTGTAAAATACGATACATGTATGAACATCTGTAATGTGTGGTTATTTAAATTAAGAAAAGTTTTATTATTACATTTGCCAATAATCTAAACTGTCTCTGTAAAAAAAAAAAAAAATGGATAATGTTCTTGAGTCTGTTTTGAGAAATTGTGAGTTAAATCTACTATACTATTTATGTGTGTAAAATAAACCAAATTAAAATTTTTAATTTACTTCAATTTTCATTTATTCTTTGTTATAATCATCATGTTTTTAAAATTACAATGAATGAAAGCTCAATAATTTTCGACTGAATAAATTAATTGAAAACATTGACAGATGATATTAAATCACCGCACTTGAAAAAAAGCGCCTACGTGTCAGGTTTCTTCCGACTTGTTTCGCGGATGAACTGTTAGTATCTGCAGATACACTGAGTCTGACACACAGTACTAACAAACATAACCTTCGCGCGTCAAATTCCCGTATGTTTTTGTAGCAGTAAAACTGGACGACCGACGACGTTTTGCTGTTCTGTCACTTGCTGCCAGCTGTGATTAGTTTGTAACGCATTAGCTATTCGACATTATGGAGGTAAAATTATAATTCAAAATTTTTGTTATTGCAAATATGTTTTAGTTTACTAATGATCTCTTTAATTTCAAAATTTATATTATTTATTTATGTCGATATCGTGACAACATTAAAAGTTAGCAGTGCTTATGAAAAATCGAATCAACAAATGAAAATTATTTTAATACTTTTAGGATCAAGATATTCCAATTGATATAAACAGTGGCAAATTACTTGAATGGCTTGTCAGCAGGAGACATTGCAAAAAAGATTGGGCAACCCATATTTTAAAAATAAGGGAGAAAATAAACAATGCTATTCAAGACATGCCGGAGCATAAAGATATAACAAAGCTGCTGTCAGGAACATGTATGTGACAATTGATAAACTGAATTGTTATTGTTAGAAATTCATAATATAGTGAGTCTTTTTTATTTTCAGTTATAAATTACTTTCACTGTAAAAAAATTGTGGAAATATTAAAAGAGACAGAGGCAGATACAAAAAATCTTTTTGGTCGGTATGGATCACAAAGAATGAAAGACTGGCAAGAGATTATTCGCATGTATGAAAAGGATAATTTGTACCTTGCAGAGGCTGCTTCTATGCTTATTAGGAATGTTAGTTATGAAATACCCGGATTCAAAAAACAAATACAAAAATTAGAACAAATGAAAGTTGTAAGTTTACTTATTTATATGTGTTTATTTTTAAAGTTGTTATTATAAATAATAATAATTAAATGTATTACATTTAATCTAGGACTTTGAAAAAAAAGAAACAGAGTACAAAAAATCAGAACATTTTCTACAATCTGAATTCAATAATTTATGCAAACAGTTGGGAATCTCAGGAGTTAAAATCAAAAAAGAGTTGGCTGAAAGAATAATTGATCTACCTCTTTATTATGACAAGATTATAAAACAACTTAATGGAATAGAAAATGTTGTTGAATTTTATAATGCTTTTGTACAGTTTACTCATGGCATGCCTCGCAATGAAGGATGTGTGCCATTGTTGAAATATTTAATAGGTATAATTCTTAAAGTCAAGCATTGAAAATTTGTATGCGCTTTTAATTAATACTCATGATTTCACTTGTAGAAAAAGGAAATACTACAACATATGAATATACATATGGAGAAGCGCCAATAACTATTACTGAGCCTAATTATCATATTGATGTAGAAGATGAGGATGAAAATAATGAAAATAATGAAGTATGTAAAATGTTTTACATCATAGTTAAAGAAATTTTTTTGTAAATAAACTGTTACAGATTGATTTTGGTTGCCCAGCTGTTGAAGGAATAGATTTTAACAATATTGATTTAGATGGTGGAGAAATTGATTTTGGAGGTGACATTCAGTTAGAAGATGGAGGTGAAATTGATTGGGGTGGAGTAGCAGATGATTCTGTTCCAGCAGAAGAAGCAATAGATTTTAATATTTCTCTGGAAGAATCTGGTATTGTTGTTGAATCAGTTGGAACTGATGGTGGACACGCAACAGGAACACAGGCACTGTCAGTTTTAGATAATCCAGAAACACGAAACGAATTTATTAATCAACTTTATGAGGTAAATAATTTGATAAAATTGAATGCATCATATGATGGGTGTAAAATAAATAATTTTTAATTTATTCTTTAGCTGGAAGCATTTTTAAAAATGCGCTTGTATGAATTCAAAAGTGAAAATAATAAGAATACTTTGAATATGACACAAATGCAAGATGCATCTCTTCAGCACACTACTGTGGATACAACACAAAGTATGTTGGACAGCGTACAAGTTATTCTTTCTGAAGCACTGGATACAAAGCTGAAACACTTGCACAGCATTAAACATTCACCCAGGTACAATGAAACTCTTAAATTAATCAACTTTGATGATATTTTACATAGTGAAATTTGACCATTTTTTTATTTTTTCAGATACGTTGATATATTAGCATCTAGTTTAAAACAGAAACAAAAAATGATCAAGAAAATGCAAGACTTGGCGCAATCAATGAGAAATAAACAAGAAGAAACACTTTCTCAAGCTGATGCACTTAGACCTATACTAAAATTAGTTGTACAGAAAACGAAAGAATTACAAAGTGAAGTAAGTAATTTATTACTCAAAATATTGTTAAAACTACACACTGAAAGTATAAAAAATTGATTACATTTTTACAATTTTCAGATTGAAAACGATATTTCCAAGAAATACAAAAATAGAGAAGTACTTTTAACTGGTATCATCAACACATTGTAACGAATGATGGGTTAAATCGGTAAATTTTCGGTGAACCGGCGATAAATTTTATTATTTTGTACATAAACACTATCTAAATTATCAACTATCACTGTTTTAAAGTTATAATAATACATTTATACTTTTACTAAACATAAATAATGATAAAACGATTTGTACCGAAAAATTTTACAAGAATTTAATAAAAATTGTAAATAAAACAATTCGATCCTTAATAACAAAGTGTAATCAGTATGGTAACTTGGCTACATCATATACATTGAAAATATAATACAGCAAAAAGCGTGAACGGTCAATTGGCACAGGTGGCAACACTTGTATGATCGGCTCGGTGTTATATAGTAGAAGCTCCAACTAGCTCTATTTAAGCCCGTCAGATGATCATGAATAAATTCTGTATCAAGCGCCAGGGCGACGACGTGCACACGGCTTTATGGCGTGGGCAGCGATATCTGCGCAGACACTCGGCGAAGGTCCTGTCGCACTCGCAGAGCCTCTGGGCGCAGGATCCCGAGCTGCCCCAATCGCCGTGCTCGATCGCTGCAACATCGTATCCAAGCCCATTACATTATATACATATTATGCACGTTGCGCGCACGTAAATCCTATAATTGAATATGACGCGCGATTGATTAGTGCAACTGAATTACGCGCGGCTCTCTCGTAGTATATGTAAAGGCATACGGCGATATATTACGCTGATTCTGACGTGTGTGGCGTAAGGATATCATCGCGCACGTGAAAAATTGATGAATTCTCAATGTGTCTTCGCTATCGCGTGAATTATTATTTATTAAGCGGTTATTGGATTGTGTGCCGGAAGCTCGATTATTTTCGATTGAAATTTTTATGCGTATATGCTTTTATATAATGAAACTCACCGCAGATGGGCTTGTAGCCTCGATAGCATTTCCAGTAGTATGGGACGAAGTACTCGATGAACATCGGGCATTCCGTCGCGTCGTAGCACCAGTCGTGCATTTTGCAACATCTGCATCGTGAAAAAATTTATGTTTAATTATCTGAATGAATAGAAAATTCGTTTGAGATTGACGAGTCTATCTTTAGTCATTTAATAGTACAATCATGAAATGAAATGTTCCGCATTGATTCGAGTATTAGTAAAAAAAATCAGATTATAATATTTGTACCTGTCGATACCGTCCATCGGATAACCGGAACCCAAAAATCCGCAGTAGCATCCGTAGCCCTTGTAAGCCAGGGGATTGCAGCCGGTCGCGCAGAGTATCATGTTGTACAGATGAGTCACGGCCCTTTTGACTCTGCCGTGTCCGTGGCTGCTGCCCCTCGGGGATGATCTGCCGATTCGTCGGTGGAATTTTCGGATTACATCAGTTGTGCGATATGTATGTCAATATATTATTAAATCATGCGCGAGTTGACCCGGACAATAAAAAGAGATCTCTATAGCCGCTGCTGAGCTGCTCTTAAACGTGAAGAAATATACGACAATTGCAAAAGAGATGGTGTTGAGACACTGCGCTATAGGCACTGCAGTTGGCATTGAAATGGTTATTGTTTTGCGCTTGTTTTTCGACGAGCGGGCTCGAAATAATTTACTGCACACCGCAGCCGTTTTCGCATAAAAATCTAATTGGCCAACGCACCCGTAATTTCCCTTCTTAAATATTTTTTAGAGCGTAGGTAACGATCGTCAAAGAGCTCTAAATACTTGCGTTCGTTTGCATAAAGAAAAATTATTGAAAAGAGTAAAGAAAAAAAAATAGTGCGCTTACTCAATCGAAGAATCGTTAAGTTCCTTAGAGGCATTAATCTTGGCGAAATTTTGATAATTATCGCGAAACATGGAAAATTTCCCATCGAGGTAGCCGCTGTAAGCCAAGTAGGTGTTTGCTCCATCATCATCGTCGTCGTCGTCGTCGTCATCGCCGTCGCCGTTGCCGCCGTCGGTGGCCTCGTCGTTGTCGGCGGAAATTATTTCATTCGACGCAATACGATGGCTGCTCGGGTCGCTCGAGTTCCTCAAGTCTACGGCGTTTCCAACTGGAAAACGAAAAAATGGATGAAAAAAAAAACAACACAGAACACGGTGCAAATTATTGTAAAGATTGGAAGCAGAAAAGTAACGAGAGGGAAAAAAATCAGTATTAATAATTGCGCAACTGGTTGAGAGCAAAACATAGTCGAAAGGACCCCATGCGTTGTTGATAATTCGTTGCGATATGCGGGCCTTTCTTCTTTCTCTCTCTCTCTCTCTCTCTTTTTCACTCTGTTAGACTAGATCTTGAAAATCCGCGCGGGTGCATATATCCAGGACTTCCGCCAAGGCATAATTTAGCCAGGCGTGAAAAAGCAGCTCGTCTCGACTCTCTCGCGTGCAGAGGGATTTACGGTCTCGACGTATTGTTTTAAAATCTCCTCTTCGTTGTGTGTGTGTGTGTGTGTGTGTACATAAACTACACATATATTATGTGCGAGTATATGTGTGCGTATACCTTAAAGTAAAAGTGAATCGGCGCAGTCTTGCGCTTTGACTCTCGCGATGTATAATAATGTACACAATATTATATATGCACCTTGCTCGCTGCCTGCTGCGTGCACACATAATCGTGGAACGGGATTTAGTCGGATGAGCCGAATGTATTATACGTATATCGCAGCTGCGCGTGCGATTATACCTTCATTGTTCGAGTTTTACTCAGCTTGTATCTATACGCAGCCGTGATATCCTCCGTTATAAAAGTAAGAGTAAAAGTATGATCCATCAGGGCGTTACATAGCAGCGCACTTCTCGTGTCTAAATTTTCCGCGGCGAGCTATGCGATAATAGATATAATTTAAGACCGCGCACGAGTCGAGGGGACGATCTTTGTTCCTCGCAGCGTGCACATATTGGTACATAGAGATCGGATCGAATGACAAAGCTCGCGATGTGTACGTATTTTACAACATCATCGTGGCTCAATCGCGAGCCGCGCAATGGAATATAAAGGTGGAACGCGCCGCGTCTATTATTACGCGTGTATATATATATACACCTATGCAGTCGTGCGCCGCCTTCAAGTTGAAGGTTTATCGTTACACGTACATACACGTGCGAACTCTCTATCTATATTATATGTGTGACGTATTATCTGTCGTATCGTAACGCGCTCCAATGCTATAATGTAACATTATAAGCCTGTCATTATACTACAGGTTGGCATGCATAGAGACCGTACGTGTGTGCGTGTAATATTGCGGCACTCTCGACGAGTTATTTATTTTTCGCCCGGGCGCTTTATTATTCGCGATTATGCTGCGCGTATAGTCGACGTTTACCCGCACAACATATACAATGTATATAATGAGTAAAACAAGCGCCTGTGCACCTGCTTATAGTGGATAATTTGACTTTTAACTCCCCGACAGACAGGAGAGAATATTAATTCTTGCGCAAAAGCCCGTGTGTGCACGCTCCACGCTCAAAATTTCTGTACACGATTATGTGTTGCCGCCGTGAGACATTAGACGATATTGTGCGAGGATTTGTCGTGATTTGGAAATTCCTCGATTAGTTTGAGAGACTTGCAACGTATACGTTGTAATGTTTCATGAAAAATTGCCCATGTATTAATAAGTAATATGCCACATGCAACGAAGCGATAACCTGTATACGATGTATGTATAATCGTTTACGCGAAGAATTCGAGATGCAGCCGCGAGGCGAGTCTCACGCGATCACGATAGTAGCCTGTACGGATTACGTCACGTGTCCCATTTGTTATACGCTCATAATTTTGATTAAAATATTAAAATACTTTACATTTATAATTCTCGAAGGATACGATCGTCTTCTGATCGCGAGTTCATAAATAATGTCGAAATATACAATGTACCCGCGATCGTGCATCGCAAAACACAAAGCGCAAAGGACGCTCAACGCTAGCCAAGATTTACGTATTCGGTTAATTAACGGGCTAGCTTTTCATTGCCTCGTTCATCCACTTGTTCGCGACTCGCGAGTCTCGCTCAACGGTTGATCATATACATTTTCCCGAAGTATACAGTTGACGAACTCCTGTGTCTTGGTTTGCAGTTCGTCGCGAGAGCTCGTTTTGCATTTATAATATAACTCTCGTCGTTGCCGTCGTCGCTACCGGGTCATTATTACAAATATACACTGGGTTGCATCCAAGACGACGTCGACGACGACGACGACACTGCAGGCACATTGTTGGCTTTCGACTTTTACGCAGTTTTTTGTCTTTCGTCTAATAAATTCATTTGGCTCGCGTTTTACTAAGATTTTCCCGAACTAAAATTTTCCTTGTTAATTCTTGACGCGCTAATTATGATAATTATGATGTACGAATGGACATGTACCAGCAGTAGCAGCAGACGATGCTGCTGCGTATGTATGCACAAGCATTATATTAAATCACGTAAACTGCGCGCGAGGAAAATGCGCGAAATGTAGGCTGCTGCCCGTGTTACATTATAAATTAGTTATATTACTATATAATATACTCGTGAAGCTGAAGATTGAAACAAATGTGCATTTATTCAAAAAACATGAGCTCGTATAGTGCAGCCGGAGTTATAACTTCTATGCAAACGGCGCTCGCGGTATGAACCGTACTGAATATTTGTTATATTACATACACATACAATTAACACACATTTCTCGAAGACGATTTCGAAGAACTGCTCGTGAGATTGAGAGAAAAAGGAATTTAATAACCATGCGTGCAATAGTGCGCTAAGTGTCAGGGGCGAGGAATTTTGCGAGAGAACGCAGAACAAAAAACCTATGATTATGTGAGCGCATTACAAAGTGAATTTCGAGAGCCATTGTAATGTGGCACACGAGAATAATCCCTTATACTTATAATACACGAGCGAAATAATTGTGTTCTTTTTCCAAGTGCGGCGCGCGCAAGATGGAAATTTAGTTATTCAAAGTCAGCCGCAACGTCAGCAGCTCTTTGAACTTCTCTATTATCAAAGATCATGCGCAGCTAGAAGGTATATAATTTTCAAGTACAACTGGGTGTGCGGGTCGTTCGATGCAATGTACGATTCATCACAATATACTCGTGAAAGTAATTGAATTTTCAATTACTCAATTTAGCATTAATGCGTAATGTAAGCGGTGCGCGTACTTAACAAAATGCCCATAATCCGCGCGAGGGAGGAAAAAAAAATGAAACGTAAGACTACGAGAGAATGACGCAGATTGCAGCTGTTTGAATAGCAGTGTTGAGACGGGATTTTAATCCGTATACAGACGCGATAGAAGAAATCGATTTGCTTAATCGACACTTGCGAGGGCGAATTCTCTCGGGGCTGCAATTTTCTGAATCCGCGTATTTTGTGGGCGAAAAAGTCAAGACGTATACCACTCCTTTCTCTTTTTCTCTGCTCTCGTCCACACGTGGAAAGATGAATCGGTCGCGATTCTCACAAAAAACGAGCACTCCTAGTATAGATGTTATACAAAAGCTCGAGAGCAATAGGGAAAACGATCGTTTCCGCATCGCTCATTAAATTGCACAAAAAAAAAGAACAACAAATAAATAAATTCGAAGAGCGAACACGTGTGCAAGTTTAACACCGAGAAGAACACGTCAAATAGAAGGAAAAAAAAAATAAAGAGTCGTCGAGAGAAGATATATCGCGTGAAATTAGCCGTACGTCGTTGTTGTCGTGCTGCAGAAGCGGCGGCTTGGGCCAATTAACGGCGGGCGACAAGAGCGGAAAATGCGGAGCTACAGTTGCGGAAAAAGAATAAATTTCTACTCGGCCAGGCTATATATACACAGTACCCACACACACACAGGCATACATAGAGATATAAGGCAGAATCACTGCGACGAGATAGATATAGTATACCATGTAACGCGGAGGACGAGCTGAATGAGAGAGAGAAAGAGGAAGAGAGGGAAAAAAGCCGAGCGTGTCGCGCAGCTCTGCGGCGTGAAGATGCAATCAATTACGAGCACGAATGCACTACGCCAGCTACTACTGCCTATCTCTCTGTCTCTGTGTGTAGGTGTAGGTGTGCGATAATAAAAAGAAATAAGAGCGAGAGTGAAGCCGACTCTCGTTCGCGCGTTCGCTCGTTGGGCTTTTGATATCTGTATTAAAGAGCTGCTGCTGCTGCTGCTGCGGTGTCGGCAGCTATATGGCTTCGCACGCGCGCACGGATGACAGCTCCTTTTGCGCCTTTGCCCGCAAAGTATAAAGAGAGAAAGTCACTTGAATAAATACACCGCCGCCGCCGCGGCTAAGGGAGATGAGGATGTAATTCGCCAACGCGTCGACGTTATCGATCATCCTACCACGAGGACTACGTGTGTACCTTTGTGCGCGCGCGTGTGTGTGTGTGTATGACTATACATGTGCTGCGGTGCGTGGGTGAAGCATGCGGGACGGCTCGTTAGTCAAATCGGAATTTCAGTTGCAGCAAGGATTCAGCGTGCATATAAGAGTGGAAAACGATTAGAGGTTCGCCGACGAAGCGCTGGAAAATCGTTGACACTTTTCTTCCTTTATGTTCTTCCATAATAATTTGAACTGAACTGTGATTTATTATTCTTGAATATGATGTAATTGTATATTTTCAATTATGAATGAATATTAACGAAGATGGGATTTTTATTAATTCGTAATTGTTGACATTATTTGGGATCGCATGACATTTCCTCGAGAAGTCAATTAATTTTTTAAAATAAATACACCCATCCGAAGATGTAAGTTTACTGTGGAAATAACTTTATGAAAGATAACGCAGATGCTTTGTGAACGTTTTACGTAATCCGCGTGTAATATCATATGAAAAAAGAAGAAAAAAAATAAATAATCAAAGGTATACAAAGCGCGTTTGCAGGGATAAAGGGCAGAAAAATATCAAAGCCGCGGATTAAAGCAGGTAGCTAGCTTTGTGTGTTCTAGCACTAGCATAATAATAGGGGTACACGCGAGGAAAATTCTTACATTCGAGTATCAAATTTCACCGCCCTACAAGAAAGTTAATAATATTTTTTAGCCACGCACGGGACAAAAAGTACAGAAAACTTGGTACCCGCATTAGAGTTCTCGTCCTTGCTCGGATTTTGCTTTTTTTCTCAAGTTAAAAAAAAAAAAAAATAGTATGCATCGATCCCAGGGTCGAGCCTCAAAACGAGCTATATAGAGATGCGCTTCCGTGAGAGAG